TGGGGTGGGGGCAGACTTTCTTGACTGGCTTGCTTTCTTTCCCTTGTTTCATTCCACCTTTCTTTGCAAATTTATGTACTTGAATATTAAGCAGTGAGAGAGGTGAGAGAGGTAAGAGAGAGGGAAGAGAGAAGAGGAGATGAGAAAGAAGCAGAGAAACACAGAGCTCTTTCATCTGCTGATTCAGTGGATGCAACACCTGCATCTGGACCAGATCCACACCAGCAGTAGGAACTCCATTGGAGTCTACCATGTAGGTGGCGCCTACTTGAGCCTTCCTCCACTGCCTTCCCAGTTGTGGAGCACCTAGACTTGAACTTGCACTCACACATGTGATGGCAATGCAATAAGCAGTGGCTTAATGCACTGCACCACAGAGCCAGCCCCAAGAAAGCAATTTTCCTTTGATGTGCTAGGATCAGGATTAATACAGAATTATTCAGAAGTATTAGATGATGTATTATAAGAGAATAATCAGATAGCTGGTGAGGAAGATTTAGAGATTGCGTATAGAGAGATCTGTTAGTAAATGAAGCTGCTGCAGGTGAATATTTATATACTAATATATGTATTTATATTATAAAGTAATTATATAACTTTTTAACTTAATTTATTCTTTTTAGAAAGACAGATTGACAGAGAGTACGATCTTCCATCTGCTGGTGAAGAACCTAGGTGTTTTCTGCTTTTATGATTTCTGCCTTACTTGCTTGGGTGGGTACTGAATGAATGCCAGGCCTGGCAGTCTACATGAAACCAGCAGGACATTCCGCATTTCTGGGTTGGGGGGAGGTAGCAGGGAGACCTAGGTTAACCTGAATAAACTGTTCTTCATGAGTTAGCATTGACTTCTGACTCGATGTTTTTCTGGGGATCTCAAAATCCGGTACAATACTGGCTACTCCCCAAATAGCCTTGGCCAGAGCTGAGCTGATCTGAAATAAGGATCCAGGAACCTCAGCATCTCCCATTTGAGTGTAGGGTCCCAAGGCTTTGAGTCATCCTCCACTGCTTTCCCAGGTAATCAGCCGGGACCTGGAAGGGAAGTAGAGTGGATGGGACACAAACTACCACCCCTACCGGATGTTAGAGTTTGCAGGCAGATGGTTAGTCAGTTAAGCTATTGTACTCTCCCACCTCAGCAATATTTAAGATATATCATCTGCTCAGTAAAACATGTTTACAAAAATGTTTGTGGTGTGTATAGTAAATTCAATATCCTGTGAGTAATGGAGGTCATGTTTTTGAACAACATTTGATTATAAGAGAAATTTTTTTATACATAAAATGAGGACAGGGTCTGGGCTGTGGCAGATAGGACTTAACCCCAGCACCCACTGGTGCTCATGAGAACGAGGGTGGGGATAGAATAAGTTGGGATATGTCTCAACAGACACTGAATCACGCAAGTGCTACATCTGGGTGTGTACCAGTTATGGCTGGGCTAAAGCACCCAACAACAACAACAGCAATGGGTGTGGTCCAGTTGGGCAAGGCCACTGTACCTGCCAGGACAAGAGGAGGACTAAGTCAGGCTGGGCCACGGACCTACCAGTGTGCATGAGATCTCCCGCTGGAGGAGACCTGATAGAAGGGTTTGGGGAACTGCTTTTTTAGGATGCAGTGCAAAACCTGAGTAAGTGTAGATTTGTTGGGCTTTGCTACAGCATCAATTGGCAAGTACTGGGCCTGGAAGCAAATCTTGTCAAGCTAGACTGCAGAAGTACCTGGAGAGTGCAAGATGAAGGACTGGGAATGGGTCGAGTAGGAAAACTGTGGACACCTCTCTGATGTGCTGCAACTCCCACTCGTGAGCATGAGCACCTGGAGGTCGACCTTGCTAGACAGGCAGTGACAGCAGTTGGCATGAGTGTGGGCTGGATAGTGAGGCCAGTTGGGTTGAGTTAGGTTTTAAATTCATTTGACATTTATGACAGCTGAATGGGATATGAGGCAGCCTGGACCAATCTGTTGCACATACTGGCAAGCACAGGAGCAAGGGCTGGGGGCAGGGCAAGTGGGGGTCATTGGGGGTTGCTCTGACTAGGCTGTCGCTTCTGCCGGTATAAGTGAGGCCTGAGTATAAGGTGGACAGGGATGGACTCAGCTGCAGCATCCATTGGATTACATATGAGTCAGGGCTGAAGACAGACTGATGGGTGCTCCCCTATATGTTATCTGATCCTTTTTTTGTGCCTATTTCAGTATCTCTCCTTTATGTTCAGCAGAAGAGAGCTTGACAATGATGTGTCTAGGTGAGGGTCTTTGTAGGTCAAATCTGTCTGGGGTCCTCTGCACTTCATTACATTCCCAATGTTTCAAAAATTCTCTTTTATACTTTCTTGGAATACACCATTCAATTCTGCCTCTCTTTCCACGCCTTCAGGGACTCCTGTAACTCTTATAGTACATTTTTAAAAGGTGTCATTCTGTTCTTGGAGAGTTTTTGTAACCTTATTCAGTTCCTCTTCCAAATTTCTGCTTACTTGTGTGTGCTTGAAGAAAGTGTTTTCCAATTCTGAAATTCTTTCTTTTACCTTGCTCATGCTAATGGTGTGTCTTCCTCTTCCTTTTTGCTCTCTTGTATTCTTTGGTCCAAGTGTTTCCATTTGCTTCTGTTTCCTAGCTGGTATCTGTTGTGTTGTATTCCTCACATTGCGTGAGCTCTAGCCTTTGTTTCTGGCTGTCTCTGAAGGGGTTTGTACTCTTTGCAGGTCTTCTGTTTCCCTTCTCCATGGGTCTTTTATGTCTGCAGGTTTTCTCTTCAGATGCTGTCTTTATGTTGTGGTTGTCATGCACAAACTGTGTTCTATTTTACCTTTCCTGAAAAATAAAATATCTAATTAATTAAAAAAAGAGAGACTTGACAGTTCCTGTTCTGCATGTACAGTTTTCTGTTTGTTCCTGACCTGGGATGATGTTTGAGCTTCTGTGTTGGCTGCTCTGGGGACTTCAGCCTCAGTGTCTGCCTTCAGGCCTCCCACCTGCCTCCCTTTCCTCTGGATGTTGCAGGCAGCTGGTCTTTCTTCTGCCTAGTCTCTCTCTCAGACTCTGTTGAAGTAGAGTTTTGGCCCAGTGAAAACACTGCCAGTAATTTGAACGGTGTTGTTTCTTTTGGATTACCTGAAGTCTTCTTCAGTTGAGTGGATTAGAAATAAGGAGATGTCGACTTTAACCTTAGCCTTGTATTTGTAAGGCCTAGCCGTGGTGGATGTGGGGCGGCCCAGGAGGAGGCCGAGAAGTGTGGCTGGTAAGGCCGCACTGGGATTCACCAGGTGGATTCACCAAGGTCAGAGCCTTTAACATTTCAGCACCTAAGAAGGCACCTTCTTTTGTCCCCCAACCCGCACCTTACAGCTCCTACATAAAACACCTCATGTCCCCTTCTCTGGCCCACTGTCTGTACCAGACCAGTGAATCTCACCAGGAAGTGCTCCCAATAAAGCTTGTTTTAAGCTGAACTGTATTCTGTGTGGATTTCTGCTTCTGAAGTGAACTCCAACTTTACATCTAATTGTGAAGACCCAGGAGGAGTGTTTCCTCACAGCCCCCCGACCCTGCTTCTGCGGCCACTCCTTCCCTGGACAGCTGAGTCTCAGTGATTTCTGATGCAACATGCCACTCCATTCAGATTAAATGTGGCCTGCTGCTTGCTGCAGGTGGTGGGTGAATGTAACCTCTCAACATGCTCCTCTCCACGCATCAGTTCTCAAACTTTACTCCCCAGGAAAACCTAGGGTTTCACTAGTCCCAGCACCTTGGATTCTGGACTTTCCAGCTAGGCAGAGATTTCAAGCCCCATACAGTTGCCACTTGGCTGTCTCCTAAATGTCTCAAGACGCTATAATTCTCATAACTCTGAACATGCCAACTCATTTTCCTCTACAGTGCAGCTGGGACTCAACACAATGTAGAGAATGATTCCATGTGCTATGATCTAGACAACTTGTACCACTGCTATGGCGAATAATGAAAGATCTGTTGAAGTCTTCTGCATTCTCACTCTGTCAGTGCTTCTCTCCCTCTCACGTTCTAGCACATTCTCAACCCTCAGACTTCTTAATTCATTGTTTCCCTCTCCAGTCTAACTCTGAAACATTTACCCCAGGAAACTTCCACCTCTCCTCCTAAGTCCCACCTCCCACCAGCATCTTCAGGGTTAAGTTCTCTCTCTCACTCTCTCTTCCTTAGCACAGTCACTATGGCTTCTCCTGTCTTCTTCCTGCTTTCTCAGCTGAGCCACCCTCCCCACAGCGGCAGCATCTCCAAGGTTAGTTTAATTTTTTCCTTCTCTCTCTGTGTCTACCCCCACCCCCTTTTTTTTAGGGAGAGTTTTAATATGTATTTTTAATGGAAAGTCAGATATACAGAAAAGAGAGATAAAGAGGAAGATCTTCCATCCACTGATTTATACTCCCTAAGTGGCCACAGTGGTGAAGCTGTAGCAATCCATGGCCAGGAGCCAGCAGGTTTTTTGTGTCTCCCACGTGGCTGCAGGGTCCTAAGGCTTTTGACCATCCTTTACTGCTTTCCCAAGCCACAAGTAGGGAGCTGGATGGGAAGCAGGGCCACCAGCATTAGAACCAGTGGCCATATGGGACCCTGGCAGTTGCAAGGTGAGGATCTTAGCCACTAGGCTTCCCTCTCTTTATTATACTCCACCTCTTTTATAGTAGTCACAGAGTAGGAGATAAACTTAACTGGGCCCACAAAAGAGTATCTTGTCTCTTGTGGACAATGGACAATGTTTGTACATAATTCAATATAACTCTGAAAGTATTCTCTAAAAATAAAATGTTTATACCACGGATACACTGGTGTAAAAGTAAAATCTAATATATTGCTAAAATATTGTTGGGTATGAGATGCATCCATGTGCTTTTATCTGCTACTTTCATATTAAGCTTTGTGTGTACCCATGTGGCAGACCAGGAAAGAAGTTCCTGGCTCCTGGTTTAGGATTGGCGCAGCACCGGCCGTTGCGGCCACTTGGGGAGTGAATCATCACACTGAAGATCTTTCTCTCTGTACATCTGCCTTTCCAATAAAATAAATAAATCTTAAAAGAAAAAAAGTGAGATGGGTTGTTGCAGCTCAGGAAGTTGGAGTTCTTGGTACCAAGTTCTGCGTTTTCCTCAGGACTGGCTATCAGGGCAATGCACATGGAGGCTCTGCAGAGTGACTGTGGTGGGTCCCGGAGGTGGAGGTGTGTGTTCATTCCCCCAGGGACCCGCTCTCTCCTAAACCCACATGGACGCAGTTACTGCTGTTGCTGTTCCTACTTTCAGTGTGCCTGCACCTTTCTTCCTCATTCCCCCAGTCCTGTTAGCAGCCCTCACCTGCACAGGTGTTATTGCCCCAGGCAAGGCTGTGGTCATGAGCCAAGGCTGCGGACAGTTGTCCCCTCAGCTCTGGTGCGGACATCCTCTCTGGGGCTGGCAGCACAGGAAAGTAAAAATAATACAACCGTGTGACTAGGACAAGAGCCCGATTTGTTGCCTTCGTGTGTAGGAAGCTCATATAGCTCAGCTGAGTAGCCAGTTGGAATCCCAGGTAGGGGCTGGGTAGGAGGCAGGGCGAGACCCTGAGTCTCTGGGGCGGGGAAGCCCGATTCCTCTGCCAGCTGTGTCTCCACCGCCGCTCCCCCCCCCCCCCCCCCCCGTGGTGCCCTATTCCTCAGCCAGCCCAGCTGCGGTCTCTCCGTTTCCTCCCCCAACAAACACCCTGAGCGGGGTCCTGGCAACTGGGCCTTCGGCCGCTGGCAACTGAGCTCCTAGAGCCCACGAACTTGTAAGGCCCCTGGAGGTTCGCCCCACTTCCCCTCCCCCCCAACCAGTCTAATGTCTGGGCCGCGGGCCCCGCCTTCCTGAGTCACTGACGTGTCCTGTCCTTTTCTGATTTGTCATTTTCGCGCTTCGCCCTCCCTGGCGCCAACTCTTACTTGCACGCGAGCTGCAGCAGCAGTGTTGGCCGCGACGATCCGGGAGCGAGGATCGCAGAGCGAGGAGCCGGGAGCGAGGAGCTGAGGGGCTGAGGAGCTGAAGGGCTGAGGAGCGAGGTGGTGTGCCTGGGAGACCCCATCTACTGCTGCGCTCCTGCCTCTGCGCTGGTGAGTAGGAATCAGGACAAGCAGAGGGGTTAATTCAGGGATGAGACCTACAGGCACAATGACCGGGGAAGTGGTTCAACGTTTTACGAAGGACAATTTTCTTTTTAGAGTTTTTTTTTTTTTTTTTCCCCCAAGCTATAACTCAGCAGCGCACTGGAGGGCTCCCCGCCGCTCCCTACCACTTTCCCGCGGGACCTGGACGGGCTCCCCACTGTCCCCCGCAGAACCTGTAGGGGCCCCCAGCCTCCTGCCCCCTGGACCGCGGACATGCTCCCCGCCCCCTCCCCACCGGACTGGGGACTGGCTCCCTGCCATTTCCCTGCCACAGGACTCCGGGTGGGCTCCAGGCCAGACCCGGACTTCCCGCTGCTCCCCACCACACCACGGACCAGGTCCCTGCCGAGTCTCCACGAGACCCGGGTTGCGGGAGGGGGGGGCGGGGGGGGGGTTCCCCGCCACCTTCCCGCACCCTCCCCGCAGGACCTGAGGGGGGGGCTCCCTGCCTCCCCGCTGGAAGAGGAACTCTCTGGCAGATTTTACAGAGTGAAAGGAGGATTTAAATTTCGAGGCATCTTCTATTACTTTCGCAGACCATAAGCAGGATTAGCCAATTCTGCCAGTGTGCTGTCAGCACACCCCCCCACCATGTTTTCAAACATTTATTTGTAATGCTAAGAGTGTGAACCACTGTGTATGGCTTTCCTTCTCTACACCGTGATCCCTAAATCCACACTCCTCTGGAGGAAATACTGAAATAACATTATGGTTATTCACTTATTATGAGTCTCACTATTTGTTTTGTTTTACTTAAATATTTATTTATTTATTTTCACTGCAAATTCAGACATACAGAGAGGAGGAGAGAAAAAGAGGAAGATCTTCCCTCTAATGATTCACTCCCCAAGTGGCTGAAACGGCTTGCAGGTGCTGTGCTGATCCAAAGCCAGGAGCCAGGAACTTCCTCCAGGTCTCCCACAGGGGCACAGGGTCCCAAGGCTTTGGGCCATCCTTGACTGCTTTCCCAGGCCACAAGCAGGGAGCCTAATGAGAAGTAGGGTTTGGTCTCATGACGTGGTGTCTTCATGCAGGGATCCCTGACTCCAGCCACTGCGTGCACATGGTGAGCTGTCCCCTGGGCAGCCAGTGCGCCATTTGGCGCCAGGCTCCTCCTGCTGCGTGCCCGGCTGGGAGCTCTGGGGTTTTGGTTCTTTGAATTGCTGCTTAGGTAGCTCCAGGTTGAACCCACTGTGCTTCTGAGATGTGAATCAACCCTAAAGATTCCCAATGACAGTAACTCTTCCTTTGAAGAACTTGTAATCACTTAACAATGTTGAGCACTGAACACTAGTCCATGCAAAATCTATGGCTCGGGGCTTGTCCAGCAGGATATCCTATTACCTGACATGCTGATGCATCAGCAGACGGGTCACATTAGGCAGGGCCATGACATTAACTAGCACTCGAGAACCATATCTGTGGGGGATATGTGGGCCAATCCCTGTGGAAATTCTAGCCCCACTGGTTAGTTCAAGAGTTGGCGTGAGGATGGACTAAGCTAGGTGTGACCAAGGAGCCTGCCATCAATCACAGGTAAAGGAACCAACAACGGTCTGGACTAGTCAAGGCAGCAGCACCCAAATGTGCATCCTGAATAGGGTGTGGGGTGGGCCGGGCTGCAACGTTCATCAGCTCATACAAAGCCAAATGAAAGGGCAGACTGCGCTTGGCACTGGCCTAAAACCCACTGGCATGTATGAGAACTGGGTCTGGGAGTGGATCAAGTGGAAGAACTTGGGAAACTCCCCTGGCGGGTCATAGCTCCCGCTGGTGAACATGTAGTCCAGACTTGGGGGTCAGACAGGCTGGGTAAAGTAGCTCCAACAGCTGGCTAATGTGTGGGATGGTAATGGAATGGGGTGTACTGGGCAGGACTGAGCAAATCTTAGCCCACAAGTGAACCTAGAAACCAGGATGGAGCATAGGTCATGCCGAGCTAGGCTCTTGCACCTACTGGTCTGTGTGAGCCAGGGACGCTAAGCCACAGTGTCTAAGGCAGAGTTCGGGACAGGTGAGGAGATGAGCCAAGCTAAGAGCAATCACTGGCATGCGAGTGATCTATGGCTGGGAACAGGCCCGGTTGGGGAGCTAAGGGGACACCTAACTGGGTTGAGGTTCCCACCAAGGGGTGTATGGGCTGGAATGGGGGTTGCGTTCTGATCAGGAATCAGTTGTAGTCTTCCTTGGCACAAGTGTGGACTGGGACTAGGCCCATCAAGCCAGGCCAGACTCCAACACCGTCTGGTGTCCTGGAGAACCAGGGTAGATGTGGGATAGACTAGGCTAGGTCTCCACCCCTTCTGAGCCATGTGTGAGCTGTATGTGGGTATGGTCGCGCCATGGCTGGCCTGAACCATCCAACAATAAGAACCAGAATGGGTTGAAAGCCAGGCAGGAAAAGCCACTGTTTCTGCTAGGACAGGAGGTGAACTGAGTAGTGCTGGCTCATGGACCCCTGGCATGTGCAAAATCTGGCATTGGGAAAGGTTCTGATGGAGGAGCCTGGGCAGCTCCTCTGGCAGGACACAGTCCCTGTAGGTAAGCTCAAGAAGCATGATGGGAAAGAGCCCAGAACAGGCCATGGAAAGTTTCCCACTGGCATATATTTGGCATGGGTTGGGAGAAACCCAGGCTGAATCAGTTCATATCATCCACTGGCAAATCCGAGCACCAGAACAGAGTGTGGGTTGAGCCAGGTTTGGTCACAAGAAAAACCAGTGCACAATGCAGAATGCCAAGGTGAGGTTGTCTGTACCAGATGTGACCGCAGCACCCAAGCAGCACGCTTGAGAACCAGGAAGGGAGAGGGCGGAACCGGCAGGGGGAATATAGGGGGTGTAGGGGGTGGGTCCTCTTGCTGGACAGCTACTCCCCACTGGAGAGCGTGGGCTGGGATGGGGGCAGACCAGACTAGGCAGGGCTACAACACCTGTGGGCCTCATGTGGCCTAGATCAGGGAAAAGCCAGGCTGGGCTAATTGTTCCTACGGGTGCAAACAAAATTAGAGTGGGTGAGGGTTATTTGGGCTTAGCCGCAGCATCAGCTGGCAGAAGCTGGCACTGGGGGCTAATTCTGTCAAGTCAAATCACAGAAGCACCTGGAGAGTACATAATCCGGGAGTGAGAAAGGCCTGGGAGGAAAACAGTGGGCTCCTCCCTCTTGGGTTACCACTGCCATGGGAGGGCACAAGAACTAGGACAGGGGCTGGGGTGGCTAGACAGAGAGGCACCCAACAACATCTGTGTGGGCTGGATAGTTGAGCTGGTTAGATGGAACTAAGCTTTGATACCCATTGACATGTACAAGAGCCAAATGGGATGTGGGACAGACTGGACTAGTCTGCTACACATACTGGCAAACCAGGGAAGGGTGCGGGCCTGGTGGGGTTTATTGTATGTCTCTGGCTAGGCTGTAGCTCCCACTGGTTTATGTGAGGGCCGAGTGTGAGCTGGGCAGAACCAGGCTGGACTGCAACACCTATTGGTTCCAGTGGAAGTTGTTTGCTGAAAACAGAACCAACCCAGCAATTGTAACCACCAGCTGATCTGGGTGATGGAGTGTGCCAGGTCCTGTACTTGCCAGTACATACAAATTTTGGACTGGGAACACCTCAGACAAAGTTTCTTGGGGATTTCAAAACACCAGACTCAGAACCCTAATCATGAAAAGACAGAAGACAAAACAGGTCATTCAACCACCTCAGCTATATGTTGGCAGGGAAATACTGGGCAAACAGAGACTCTATGATGGACTATGTCAACCAGTGGATTCTTCAACAACCTCATCATGCTTGGAGTGGTGAGATTGGCAGCGATTCATAACTGGTGAACTACCAAAACCACTTGAGCAAGAATCTCAGAGCATGCCCCACATCTGGGACCTAGGGTGGGTGAGAAACTGGATGGGCTTCTCTCAATATTCCCCTTTACCTCAGATACATGAAGGAAACAATATGGAAATAATACTCTTACCTACTTTCCTATAGTCCTTGAAACTTTTTACGCTAATTAGCTATGTAACGGTTTTCAAAAATATAATAAAAAAATGCAAAGAAAAAAAGAGAAGTAGGGTTGTCAGGATTAGATCCAGCGCCCATATGTTATCCTGGCACATTCAAGGCGAGGACTTCTGCTTCTAGGCTTTGTGCCGCACCCAGTCTCACTATTAATTCAACTTTTCTTATTTTAAATAATAATAAAAAGATGTATCCATTTTTATTTGAAAGGAAGACCCATGGAGAGAATGAGAGACAGAGAGAAAGATCTGTCTGCTGGTTCACTCCTCAAGTGCCACAATGTCTGGAACTGAGTTGATTCTAAATCAGGAGCCAGAAGCTTCTTCTGGGTCTCCTGTAAGCATATCAGATCCCAAGGCTTTGGGTCATTTTCTGCTGCTTTCTCATGCTGCAAGCAGGGAACTGGATGGGAAATGGAGAAGCTGGAACGTGAACTGGTTCTCATATGAGATCCCCGTGCTTACAAGTGAAGGATTAACCAATTGAGCCATTGCATCAGGCCCTTAATTCAGCCTTTTATGAGAGTTCCATAATATATTTTGGAGGGGAACACTGATGTTATTCTATTTCTTTCTTAAAACTACACTTTTTATTTTGATTTTCATGGTACAATTCCATAGGGTCTGGGATTTTGTCTGCCTCTCCATTCCACCAAGTTCCCACCCCCAGTCGATTTTCCCCTTATTGTTACAGTGGGGTCATCCTTCATAACCAGTATAATTCAATCAACCTGTTATTGAAGTGCGCCCTGACATTGCTGGTACAGACTATGTCAGACCGTCCAGCATCCCCTTGTCTAGATAAGTTCAGCAGTCTCATTGGGAGCTCTCTTTATTTTTATCTGGTTAGGTTATTTCAAAAGTGTTGTCCTCCAGAAATTCTTCCCTATACTTAGTCTATTCTGGCATCAAAGCTGTCATTCGTAGTTTTTATTTCACTTATTGAAGGTTTCTGTAACATTTCTATTGGGTTCTTCCATGTGAGCTTTGATTCCTCAACGTGTTTGCACTCATGTCACTCATCAATTTCCTTATTTCTTAGCTTTTATTTAAAAAAAAATTTTTTTTATTGGAAAGTAAGAAATGCAGAGAGAAGCAGAGATAGATAGGACAATCTTGCATCCGATGATTCACTCCCCAAGTGGCCGCAATGGCCAGAGCTGAGCCAGTCTGAGGCCAGGAGCAAGGAGCCTCTTTTGGGTCTCCCACATGTGTGCAGGGTCCCAAGGCTTTGGGCCATCCTTGACTGCATTCCCAGGCCATAAGCAGGGAGCTGGATGGGAAGCAGGTCTGCTGGGATTAGAATTAGCACCTATATGGGAATCCTGGTACATTCAAGGTGAGGACTTTAGCTGTTAGGCAACTGGGTCAGGCGCTTAGTTTCCTTGTTTGATCTGTCTGTATTTTCTTATATCTCACTGGGTTTTCCTTAGAAACATGATTTTGGATTCTACATCTGCCAGCTCATAGATTCCCTCAGGTCAGGCTATATTCCAGAGGATGGTGGGATTCCCAGAGTGTATATATTTGGTCCACAGAGAGCTCATTGTCTGTCTCCCTGGTGATTGTGGCAGCTGGGTCCTTGCTCATGGTGTTGAGAGGGACAAGGCTAGCTGTCCCCTTGTCCTGCTGGCAAGCCTGGCCGACTCCCTGGGCTTATGGGCCTGTGTGATGTGGATGGTCCCTTCCTCAGGTCCTGCGAGGAGAGTCCAAGGGGTGCTGTGGCTTCTGACCCCAACAGCCCTGCTCCTGGACTAGGGAATGTGAACTGAGCCCTGCTCCTGTCCTACAGGGTGACTGCAAGGTAGATGGGAGCCTGTCGTCTGCAGAGTTGAGTCCAGGGTGTTGGGGTGCAGGAAGGTCCTGTTGCTTGTAACCACCTGCGGGGGCCAGGGAGAGCCTGACCTGCACTAGCTTGTGCACTTTTGGGAAGGGGGCAGGAAGCCTCTGAGAGAGGCCCATGGAGGGCAGGGAAATGGAAGCAGACTCATATTAGTCAACAGAATGAACCTGCAGCTCCATGCAATATTCCTGTGACAGCAGATTCCTTCCAGAGCAGCATTTCCTTTGGCCTTCCTAGGAGCTGCAGAAGTCTTGGGTGTGCAGCTGATCAGCCACTCTTCCTCCTTGAGCTGCGAAGAGGGGACGGCTTCTTGCACTGCTCAGTCATGGTGCTTCTGGAAGTCCTCAAGCTCATTCTTTTCGTTCTGCTTCAGTTTCGGAGTGTTCCCCTTGCAGCACATGCAGGTAAGTATTTGACCGGAGGGAATTTTCACCTTGGTTGTGTGTGAAACCCTGTCTTCAGCCCCCTCTGGGTCCAGCTCAGTAGCTTTGCAAGCCAGGGGAGCCAGAAAGGAGAAGAAGGGAGCTCTCTTCAGAGTGTCTGCGAGTGAAAGCAGCAAGGACCACAGGTCTTGTTCCAAGGTCAGGGTGGCGCCTGAGCAGCCTAGGTCCTGGGGCAGAGCATGCAGCTGGAGCAGTGTTCAGAGCAGGTGGGTGAGAGATGGTTAGCAGGGAGAGGGAGAGGAGAGAGAGCAGAGGGAAAGGAGAGATTGAGGGGGAGGTGAAAGGAAAGGAGTCAGATGGGGGAGAGAGAGAAGGTGGGAGAAAGAGAGGAAGGGAAGTGGGAGGGAAAGTTGGAGAGAAAGTTGGGAAGAAGGGCCCTGAGCTGGTAATAGGGAAGGGATGAGGAGTGGAGGAAGGGGGAGGGCAGGTAGAGGGAGAAAGGCAGGGGAGAGGGAAAGCAGGTGAGTGAGGGAAGAGGAGAGAGGGAGAGAGAGTGGCCATTAGTGGCCAGGGTAGGAGCAGGCCCAAGCCAAGAGCCTGGAGTATTGTAGGGTTTTCCACATGGTTGGCCACCTGCTGCCTCCCAGCAAGCTAGAATGAGTAGCAGAGCCTGGTCTCAACCCAGGCACTCTGGTGTGGGATACGGGCAGCCCAAGCCAAGGCTTCACCACTGCCTCAGACACCCACTTTTCTTTAGACTTTTCTTTTTGCCATGTAGCTCCCCCAGCAGATGGACTTATGTTCTCTGGGAAAGGCCACCGGAAGCAATGCACTTGCTGTTGGCCGTGGGTCGTTTAGAAAACAGCCCAGCTTTTGTGATTAGTGATGCCTGGGTCAAAGGGGTGTCCAAAATCTGGTAACGGGACAGAGATTCCAACATTCTTGTTTGAGTGCTTGCATCAGCCTCCTGACCGCCTGTGCTTCCTCTTTGTGGACCTTGTCATTATTCAGATCAGGCACTATCCAGGTTGTCTGCACATCTGGCTGGCCTGTAGGATCCCCGTGCTCTGAAATCCACAGGCTCAGATCTTTGTGTACAGGGCCTGGCAGACATCGTGCCTTTCCCAGCAATGCAATCATGATGTCTTCCCAGTTCTGCACCTGTACTTAGCATCCCTTGTATTGAGATTTTTCACTCCATTATCACGTTGGGATCACCTTCCACAGTGGCCAACCCCAGGCTTGAGCAGGATCTGGGACAGTGCCTCTGATGATGCAGGTGCTCCTTTCTGTTTGCTGGTGAACAGGCTTCCTCCACACGTTCGGGAGGGACAGAGAGCACTGGACCTTTTCCTGAATTGTCATTTTATCTCTCCCTGGGATGTTTTGTGTTCCCACCCTATTCCATATCCATGGAAGTTGTGAGTTTTGTAGTGCATGTTGTGCAGGCTCATCAGCCCTGTTGCCTGTTGTCCTGTCCCAACCCTGTCCCATGGTGATCAGCACCCTCAAGGAAGCCCCCGTGCACTGTCCCATCACCCTGCAATCCATGTGAGCAGATTTTCTGCCATCCAGGCCTGGCACTGCCCTAGCAGGCTCATGCACTGTCGGGTGGGCAGAGTGGAGGTGAGGCAAGTATGGGGAGAAAGATCCTTCAGAGGCAGAAGGAGATGCAGAGGTGAGCCCAGGAAAGTGCTCTCAAGTTCCCCTGCCCTTGAGAAGGATGTTTCTGCTGGCACAGAGCCTGTGCCTGGGTGACACTCACCTGTGTTATTCTTTCACAGACTCTCACAGTCTGAGCTACAATTTCAGCATCACTGCTCAGCCCAAGCCTCAACAGCCATGGCGTGAAATTCAAGGGCAAATGGATCAGATGGTGTTTCTCTCCTCTTGCTGTGGTGGTGAGGTGAACCCTGTGGGACCCCTGGGAATGAAGCTCAACAGCACAAAGATCTGGGAGGATCAGTCTGAAACGCTGAAAGATGTGACTGAGGAGCTTCGGAACAAGCTGCTGGACCCTAAGCCAGAGATTTTCCCAAAAAGCGGTAAGTGTGAAAAGGCACCCTCAGGACAGCAGAGCCTATGGACATGGGTGTTTATTTGTGTGTAGATCAAAGCAACATTTTTGCTAGCCAGGCATAAGGGCAGGGTACGAAACACAGAGAATGCCAGGAAATACCAGAGGGACAGAAGCAGTGGATACCAGAGGGACGAAGTATTTGTCAAGACTGATGTTGGTCTATCTCATCCTAATGGGGACAGATGTCCCCACCCTGCAGGGCATGATGCGCTGTGAAAAGGAAGGCAGTGGGAAAACACACTGGTCTTGGCAGTTTGGCTTCAATGGACAGACAAACCTGCTCTTCAGCTCAGACAACAGTACATGGACAGAGCTTCATCCTGGAGCCACATGGCTGAAGACAGCCTTGGAGAATGATGAGCACATGACCACGTTGTTGCAGAAAGTCTCAGCAGGAGACTGTCAGAAGTGGCTTTTGGGCTTCTTGTCATCCAGGAAGGAAATGCTGGGGACCACAGGTAACTATGACGAAGTCTAGGGAGGGAGAGGTATTCCTTAGCGATGGGATGTGTGTGCTGTGAGTGTGGTCATGTGTGTATGCTGTATGAGTGTGTTCTGCCTGTATGTGTAGGAAAGTGCAGATACTGTGAGTGTGTATCTGTGAGTGGTTTTGTGTGTGTTATTGTGGCATGTGCATGCGTGTGTGTGTACATGAGGGTGTAGGCCTGTGTTCATGTGTATGTCAGTTCCTCCTGCTGCCTTTCCTGCCCGCCCCCATACTGTGGCTGCACTTTGTTTCCCGACATTCTCCAACATTCTTCCCTTTCCCCCATCTCAGCTGCTGTTTCTCTGAGATCCTTCAGATTCCCACAACATCAGCTCCTGTGGCCCCTCCCCACCACCATCCCCAGGCTCTGCTCCTCTTGGCCACAGCAGGAAGGACAGTCAGCCTGGTCAGCCCAGCTTCCCTTTCTGGCACATGTTTCCCTGAGGACAGGACCCATCGGCCTCCCTCCTACCCTCAGCCCAGCACATAAGAGTGTGGCAGCTGTGTGCAGGGGAGGCAACTCCTGGGGCTTGGGGTCTGGACAGGGGTCTCCAGTTTTCTGCTTCCATTTCAGCACCATCAACCATGACTCCAAAAGCAGTCCAGTCCAAGGCCGTGATCATCAGCAGCAGCACCTTGGCTGTCATTTTCATTATCTGCTGCATTATAATTGGTATGTAAGGGGCTCTCTTGAATGAGAGGGAAGCCGGGACAGATGGCTGGAGTGAGGTGATAGAAGAGGCATCACTGAGCGTCCCCCTGTTTCCTGGACTACACCTGTTCATTCTAGAAATGAGACAAGGAAAATCAGACCACATGTCACTCAACAGCATTCATTCATATGCAAGCTCAGCCTCTGAGTTCTGAGAAGTTCTCGCTGTCACAGGCAAGGCTGGTGTAGGCAAAGGCAGAGAGACCCTTTCCCAAGCTTGGTTTCAGCAACTAGCTCCTAGCATATTAGTGTGAAGAAGGCTTCACCAGTTCAGCCCTGTGTTAGCCAGGAGTCCCGTTTAATAAAGGCTGAGTGGGGCGTGGGATGTGTGTCCCATGGGGCAGGTGGGGCAGCCAGCATCCATAGCAGCTCCACATGATGAGTCAGTGTCACTGCGATGTCATCACCAGTGCATGGCAGGGTGAGCAGGAGAGTAGGCCTTTGCCAATCCAGCTCCTACGGCTTCAGGTCATGCTAGATTCCTGTTGTAGCAGGATTGGCCAGGTTCTCGATACCCTGGCAGCAAAAGCTACAAGAGTCATCAAGGCTAAAATGAACAAACAAGGCTTGTTGTCAGCTAAAGTCCACTCCCTGGAGTAGGAAAGTGGACAGGCTTGGGGAAGAACTTCTGCCCTGGAGACCTGGGGCTGTTGCCTAGCTTTTTTACAAAAAGGTCCTTCCCATCTGGACTAGCAATTCACAGGTGGGTTGCAGTTATAAAGTTACATGTGATACAAAGCTTCCTCTTGTGGGATATCCAGCACTTGTTAAGATGTGGGAACTCCTGGGAACCCCTGGGAAGCTCCAGGCTGTGCTCATAGTAAGCTGTCTGCCTAAACAACCATCTCCAGCCCCCTCGTTAGGGAACCTGAACTCTCATGTCCTATCATGGGAAACATGGGGAGCGTCTGTCTTCTGCAACCTCATCAGGCTGAGTAGGGATGTGCACCCTGCCTGCCAAATGAGTTAGTTTCCCTGGTAACTGACAAGGAGACCTTGCTGTGGAAGAGCTGGATTTGGGAGAAAGAGAGAAATGCTGTAAGGTTTGATCTAAGCATGCATTTTCCTCTCTCTCTCTCTGTTTAGCCTGGAAGACCAAATTATTGCACAAGTGCAAAAAGACAGTAAATGTGGGCCTGGCACGGTGGCACAGTGGTTAAGGTCCTCACCTTGCACGTCCGGGTTCCCATATGGGTGCCGGTTCTATCCCAGCGGCCCCTGTTCCCGTCCAGCTCCCTGCTTGTGGTCTGGGAAAGCAGTCGAGGACGGCCCAAGGCTTTGGGACCCTGCACCCGCGTGGGAGACCCGGAAGAGGCTCCTGTTCTTGGATCAGCATAGTATCGGCCATTGCGCTCACTTGGGGAGTGAATCATCGGACGGAAGATTTTCCTCTCTGTCTCTCCTCTCTGTATATCCGCCTTTCCAATAAAAATAAAATAAATCTTAAAAAAAAAAAAGAGAGTAAATGTGGGGAGGAGAGTGATTGCAAGGGAAAGCTCTCAAGAAACTGCACAGCAGCCTTGCCTGACTGGCCCACACCCATTGCAGCTCCCACTTTTGGTGCTAAAGCCAGAGACAAAAGTTGCAGGGAATTTGGTGTGAGACAGGCAGCAATTGAAGAACATACAGTTCAAACACCCTGCTCGGTGCTAATTGCTGTATTCCTGCTTCTCTAACTTCTGCTTTGCTTGTTCTCCTCAGAATTGTGACCCCAGACCTGGCAATTTAGGGGCAGTTGCCCAGGGACCCTGAGGGGACTATCCTGCCCACAGGACACTTGTCCCAGCACCCCAATAGAAAGCCCCCACCTACCTTTTGAACTAACCAATAGTGTTAAGGTCACTTACAAAAGTAGAATACTGAAAACTAAGCCTGTGATTGGCTGATTTTTGTATAAAAGCCCTAATGTTTGGAGGTTCAGGGTCTTCCTTTTCTTTGGAGTCCTGGGCATGCTACAATAAAAGTTGCTGTTGACCTCTGACACCGGGTCAGCTGCAATGGCGCCAGCAGCCACTGCACCGAGGGTGTGACCGTGACCGCAGTGTCACCTAGAAAGGGGGTGGCTGTGGAGCAGGTGGGAGCAGCAGAAGTGAAGGCAGAAGCAGCCGCAGTGACCATGACCACAGCAGTGCAGGCTTGCCATTGCTCCAAGCAGTGACAGCCACAGGTCGTCCCTGGCTGTAGAGCTGCAAGGCCTACCCAGAGAGGAGGAGACGCCTGCAGAGCTGCACGCAGATCGGTCTGCTGCTGGCTAGTGCCCACTGTGCTGTTCACTGTTCCAGGGTCGCAGCCACTTGGGACTTGAATAGCTGAGACCCCGACCCCACCTTCGCCGGCTTGCCCCCCACCTGTAGTGCCTGGCTGTGCTGCAGTCTGGAAGCCCCGCCACTCGCAGCTCACCTGCTTCCCAGCTTGGGATTATCACTGTCTGGGGGACTGTGCATCCATCCAGCTGCCTTGAAGCCAGTAGCCGGCACAACACAATCTCATTTCTTGTCTCACAGGAAAGAAGTTTCATCCTCGGATCACTCTAGTTTGCAAGGCAGGCTTTATTTAAGCAAAGGGAAGAGGCTGCTGTCCCAACAGCAGGAGGGGACTCCAAGAGAAGAAAGACTGAAGTAATGGTGGAAAGGGAGGGGCTTCACATGAATCACTCCAAGGGCAGAAAGAAAAAACTTATTCACAACGGGCTGTGAGCTCTGCCACCTGGGCCAGAAAGTAAAGGGTGACCCTGTGGTTTCCTTCTCTAATCCTGAGTAGAAGCGGAAAACCAAGGCACCATTCCTTTGAGAGTGACCCCGAGATGAGATTGGTATGAGCCCAGTCTCCTTGCTCTAAGAGATGGAGATCAATATCTTGATTCTGTCTCTTTGTTCCCTCCCCAGAGGGAGAACTGTGCTCCAAGAAGGGTATGGAAACAGGGGAAAACCCCCTTTTTACATTTTTACAGTTTAAAGGACAATTTACCAGGGAGAAGCACAATTTTGTATTTAAATGTAACTTCATCAGAGACCCTAACTCCCTACTCTCCCATCTGACTCCTCACACCAAAGACGAGGCTTTGGAGTCTGCAGCAGAGATGTGACTCCTTCACACAGCCACAGGACCTGGGTGTGGCCAGGGCAAGCAGCCTGGCTCCTGACCTGTTGCAAGGAAGCCCCCTGTGCTGCTCTGTCCTGTCCCTGACCCCTTGTGAAAGTTCAAATCCATTGAGCCTTGCCACCCACATGGGAGACCCCGACAGGACTAACAGCTGCCCCAGCCCTCGCCATTACCACTCCTGTAGGGAGTGACCTAGGCAGATGAAAGATTCCAGAACCTGGATCTCCCTCTCCTACTTGTTTGGGACAGATGCATAAATATTTAAGCAAGATGCGGGTGAGATATGTATATGTGGTAGGAGTGGCATCAGAACAAACTTATTGATCAATCACTTCTACATCTAAAAGTAAGAACGTCAATATAAAATATTCCCCTGTTTCTGTCGTTGTGCCAACAGTCCCTGGAAGGATGAGATTCTGCCAACAGTTTTGAGAGAGGAGTTAGACTGGGGAGTAGGCATTAGGGATTTCTGGGTCCCGAAGTCATCATTTTTTTCTCAAATATAAAAGGGTATTTTCCCCACCATGTCTTGGATTCACCAGAGCACAGCTCTCCCGAGACAAGTGCATATTTTAACATACCAGGAACATGTTTCCCCAAGAGACAACGGTGACATTAACATACCAGCTCCCCACCTGAAGTGCCAGCCCCATTCTGTCTCTGGCCATTGCTCAGGCGGAGGGCCTCAGACTGGTCTCTTTATCATTAGAAAGGGACCAAGGAAGTTGGCTGGTGACACCTTTCTGGGCCTTTTGTCCCAAGGCCAGGCGCCATGGAAGCCAGGAATTCTCCTTGTTTATGGAGAATCATCTTCGAAGTAAACCTTTAAAAGATGCTTTGCCCACCATTAATACGGGTTTTTTTTATCCACTTTTACCCCTGCCACTATGGCAGGAGGTACTGATTCTTTCTGTCTCAAAGCCCCCTCCCATCACTAAGACCGGAGCCTCCTTTTATAGCTTTTCTAATAAATCTTGCTTTAAAACGAAACTGTGTCCGCACGCAAATTCTTCTTTCCTGCGAGACAAGAATTGAGGTTGCTGCTGTATTCGGGGTCAAAACCCTACAACAGTTTCAGTGCTGATTTTAAGGCCAAAGAGAGTAGAGGCCAGTGGCCTGTGGCTATGCTGACAAGGTCCTCAGAGCCTGCCTTGTCCAATATTTTGATTATAAAATGTGCAATTCTTAAGATGAAGAGTGTAAACTGTCCCAGTTGCGTGATCCAGTCTTTCCCTTCTGTGAGTTCATTGTTAAGGTGTGATCACTGCAATGATATTCGACGACATAGTGTTTATCATAGTCATCAAAGTATCCTGCATCTATATCATGACCAAATACAATATTATTAAAAACAATCTATCCAAAATGTGCATAGGCATAAAAAACTACAATGGTCAGAGTGGATTGCATTGTGTTTATCAAGTTGTGGCTTTGAATGTTAAGCTGCTGCCTGCAACACTGGCATGTGCCGTGGGCCTCAGTGCGAGCCCCAGCTGCTCAGTTTCCAATGCAGCTCCTTGACAGTGTGCTTGGGAAATCAATGGGAGACAGTCCAAGTCCCTGAGCCCCTGCCACCCTGGGGGGAGACCTGGATGGGAGCCCATGCTCCTGGCTTCCGCTTAACCCAGCCCTGGTCATACCCTCGTGGACGTGTGGGCAGTGGGCCAGAAGATGGAGGACTTCTACCTCTCTATCTCTAGGCAAATCTGTTTTTCAAACAAAAAATAAATCTTTAAAACAAACGTATACTGTTTAGTGGAAACGTTATGCCACTAAGAAGTATACATACCTGCTGGGGTCCGTGTGATGGGTGTGGAAGACAGGAAGGTGTGAAGAGTATCGTTCCATTGCAGGCAGGG